CCTGGCCTGAGGCGGGCCGAACAAGGTATGACAGACTAACGAGAGGTCTGCCATCCCTGGCCAGTGGTGGGCCAAAATCAAGGCAACCATCAACTCTTGGGTGTGAAGAATTGTTCATGTTTACTTGTTATATTATTATGGGTTTCTATATTTATTTATTTCTATTTAATTACTGATTGATGACTGCTTGTCAGGGAGACTGTATGTAGGGACTATGGGACTTGTTGCTTTGCAGGATTATGCAGAGACCTCAAAAACTCCAAGGTCGGAGGAAAGAAAAAAGGTTTGGTATTCCCCTTTATTTGCTTGAGAAGTGATGATGCGCCTTGCTCAGACCAGAGAAAAAGAATGGGGCTTGGTATCCCCTTGAGTTGCTTGAGAAGTTGAGAAAACGTCTTGCTCAGGCCAGAGAACAGCAGGCCAGAGAACAGGAAAAAGGGTTTGGTATACCCTATCCCCATCATGGCAGATAGGACGAGTGCCCTCAAGTGTTAATATCATTCGGACAAATACCCTCGCATCGCTGCCAAGACAAGAAACAAGGTAACAACTGTTTTGAGAAGGACCAGCAGCAAGTCAAATTAGTAATAGATAAAATATCCTTCTTAAATTTATTTTGTGGCCGACAAGCGGCCTGGTTCACAAGGAACCTACATCCCCAGCCTCAAGGTATTCAAACTCTTAAGCCAGGGACGCTATGGAATGGGCTGAAAAGGCAAGGAGAGAAAAAGACTCAAAAGTTCAAGGAAAGGATATCGTGCTTATGTAAAAGATAAAAGATGACCATGAATTCCATCTGGAGCAGAGAGAGGAGAAAGAAAATGCAGCATAGGGTGCAGCTATTGAACCGGGGAAGAGAAGGAGCCATGCATGGTGCAGGTGGAGGCGCTGGGGGCACTAAGGCTCTGCTTGCCACGGGAGTAGTGGGGGCTCTAGGAGAGTAAGGGGGAGAAGAGGAGTCGGGTGCGCCATAGTGTGCCTCAAATTTCTTTTGGAAATACTCATCCTCGTAGGGGATGGAGTTCTCTCATACCAGCCTATGACAGGCCGGCGCTGATATGGCCTCACATGAGAGCCATACCCTCGCACTTCCTCTTCCTCCTCCTTTAAACTGAACTCGCGTCGTGCTTGAGCTGGCGGCTCTTCATGCGCCTTCCCTCCTCTACCACCTCTCCCTCTTCCCAGTCCTCTACGTGCTTCAAGCATGGTGCACGTGTGCCTATAGAGATTGAGATTGAGAGAATATTGCGAGAGGGGACGCGCCACTAAGGGGGAGAGGAGAACGATTGCGCGGACCACGTGCTGCAGCTATGTGATAAGATAAGAGAAATGTGCATTGCGTATTGTGGTAAAATGAACACAGACTGCTAGCGTAAAGCTGTTGTAGATAGCTTTACAATGGGCTACAGTAGTAGTGAGTGGATGAGCTCCTTTATACCATTCGGTCACTACGTTTTGAGCCCAGCGGGGACGCTGGGCGGGGGCTTGGTATCATGTCGGAGGGCGCGGTGTCCCGGCCCTCCGCTGCGTACCAGACAAACATCCGCTCACTCACTGTTGCGTACCAGACAGACATCCGCTCACTCTCCGCTGCGTACCAGACAGACATCCGCTCACTCACCGTTGCATACCAGACAGACATCCGCTCACTCACCGCTGCGTACCAGACAGACATCCGCTCACTCACCGTTGCGTACCAGATAGACATCCACGCGCACGCCGCTACGTACCAGACAGACATTCACGCGCACGCCGCTGTGTACGGGGGGCCACCCGCATACCTTCGTCGCAAACCGGGTACCAGTTCATAGAGTCATGCTGAATCGACAGGGCCGGTTTCTGGGCTTCCCAGTGGTAATGCACGGGTTCGATGCTCTACCCTACAACGGGCCAGCCTGTAGTTGAAGTGACCGTCGGGTTTTGCCAGTGCGATAGAAAAGGGGGCATGGTCTACTCTATCGTGAGTCGGGCCCCAATGGTTGAGATCTAGGCCAGGTGCAGGGGTGTGATAGTGATAGTCGCTCAACCGCGTGCCAGACTCCTGTAGCTGGGTTGTGGGGTAGGTGCGGAGGTTACGGTCACTGTTAGTAAAAAAACGATGTCGAGGAAAAAAAAAAAAAAAAAAAAGGAAAGTAAGGGATTGAGCGCGGAGCCTCGGATCCGTGTCTGGATCTGGATCGTTGCCTTTGAGTTTTGGAGTCTGGGGCGCTTCAGTGATGCTGAAACGCGAGAGAACTCTGAGGGGTCTTTTCTCTCTTTCTATTAATATTACTATTATGATTGTTGCCTATTTCTCCTATTTTACTGCTTGTCCTATCGTCTTGTGAGGAATTAACGGTTCGTTTTCAAACAGTGATTACGGACTGGCAGCCTAGAATGGCCTGATCGTTCGCGCCTCAGTTGTCCCTGGTGCAGGACCCCAAAAGAGGGGCAACCTGCGGCCGCTTCGATAGGACGCTTATCAGCCCCCGTGGAGGGTCATAAGCCCCCTCCTTGCCATCGGAAACGGGTACCCGTTAGTGGTAGCTCGACGTCTCATTTTAGAGGAGAGAGGTTGTTGGTTGGTATCCCATTATGGGACCGCCGCTTTAGGGTCTCAATCATTCGGCAGCAAGACGAAGTGACAGTGACTGATAGCTGAAAGCCTTGTTGGTGCTACGGTTGTTGGGGTCCTGTCCCTCGCTATTTTTATCTTAATAATTTTATTTTTGTTTTTGTTTTATTTTATTCTATTAAGTAACGGAACCACGGTTTATTGACATGCAAAACTTCAGAAATTTACCCCATTTAGAACGCTGGGGTCGCGACATGCTATGGCCCTATAAGAGAGGAAGGAGGGGTGGCATCTGGCTAACTAGGCATGAGCAGTCTCACGCTGCTTGTTGTCGAGTTGAGAAGAGAGGCGAGCGGTAGTGTGGGCGTGAGGCAGCCCAATTTGTTTGTGCATGTGCTAAGTGTTCGGTCTTGGTTGTCTTGGATTTTTGCGGTTTGGCGCCGGCGTGTAAACCAACCGAAGGGGGCGCGACCATGGTACGGAGTAGTGGGTTGCACGGCTATAGGCCGAAATACGTCATGTTTATCTGGAGGTGGGAGCAGATGTTGGGGGAGGGACCTGCAGTGACAGTCATTCTAGACTTAGCCATTGCAATCAGGAGGCAAGGCTGAAGATCAAAATTGAGGGGGGGAAAGAAGAAGAGATAGGAGCACAATAGAGACTGCAGTTGGCCATCACAGAGGCCAAGGACCGGGCTCAGAGGAGGTGCAGGAGAGACGGGGTCACAGATGAACTGAAGGTGACCGTTTCTTACCTTGAAGCAGAGACTTCAACGGACACAGTAGAGCGAGAACAGAGGCACCTGGACTGGGACACGGAGGCGGAGAGCGAGGAGAGTGATCGGGAGGTGCGGACCCAGTCCTGGCATGGACTGGACCAATGGCGGCAGGACCACCCGACCGCTGAGCCTGTAGAGGACTGACCCGAGGCCAGCTCAAAGAAGGGGAGAGATTGAGACCGCGGGGCGGTTATGAGCGATCGGGGCGAAGGCCCAAGACACARAAGAAAGAGGGACGTGCAAAAAAAAAAAAAAAAGTTAGACATTTGAGCCTGTGCAACGCGGCTGAGAAGGTCAATTACGACGATGACGTGGACGTACTTAGCGGATGTGTCAAAGCGAGCGCACAGGCGAAGGTTAACATCAATAACTCTCCTGCCCTGTCTGCACGAGACTGAGACCGTCTGGCCTGCACGGGAGTTAGATTGGGGATAGGGTGACGAGGTTGAGGCCACGGGTAGTGAGCGCGCGATGGAAGTCGGACGAGACACACGCTCCAGAGTGCAAGTGTGCACGGGAAGCAGAAGAAAGGTTAGCGTAGGAGCGGTGTGTGTAGATGATAGACCTGTTTGGTCGCGGGTGACGGTTGGCGCTGACCACTGGATACGTTGAATGTAGCTGTGAAGGGTTCAATGAAGGGGTTGCGCGAGAGTGTTGGTGAAGGTACTGCTCACATTGTTGCGCTAAGGAGTCACACGATTGCCTGTTTGAAGGTCCCTCGCAGAGTCCATTGGAGCCGACTCATGCTCTTGGTGACTTACACTCCCATCCAATACGTTGAGATTGATGGCGCTTGTGCAAGGAAGATGAGCAATAGCGAACTTCAGCAATCAAACAGCATCATACATATGAGTCCAGATAGTCGTGACCTCGAACCAACAGCCGAAGTGCACCACGAGAATCACCAAATAAGAACACACCAAGAGTTCATAATCTACAATGCTGAAATAGTCCCATCATCATCAACGAAGAACCAGAGTTGATATCCTATCTGGCGCTCGGCGCCCAGACTACATGTGGCAGATCCTATCTAGCCTACACTACGATGCCGAAAGATGACGTCAACAACTTTCCCGAAGTACAAGCATACAACGACCAGTGTCGCACGCTTCCAGCACCAGGTATGTCTCTCGCCACACTCACAACCTCGTTCCCCAACACACAGATGCCACTAGCACCCAAGGACCACCCTGCGCCTCACCCAGCTTACAGCAGCGCAGCTCGACTATGGCTGCGTGCTCCTTCCCTGCTCGCCCGTGAGAGCATAGGCGCCAACCAGCAAATAGCGCAGCAGCGCTCGCGGAGCATACAGCCAGCACCCGAATGAGGAATGTGGAGGTAGGCCCTTTGCTATATCGAAGTGGCCTGCCTGCGTCCAATCCCAGGAAGCTTGCAGTAGGCCTCGGTAGCCCGAGGCCCAGCACGACGAGAACAAGCCTTGGGCCTGAGGTGGTTGCATGTGCCCAATTGCCTTTGGCCTATGTTTGGCCCAGTACCCGTATCCAGCCCAGGGCCTGCTTCACATACATTCACAAAGGCGGCCCAGGGCTTGGGTTCACTCAACCAACTGGCGCTGCGCAACTACCTGAATTTCCTTGAGTTGGGTGGTGGCCAGAATAGGGCCCTGAGGGCCTAGTCGAGCCTGCCTTCACTTAGGGCGGTCGACGGGCTGCAAAATGGGGCCTTATGGGGCTCATAGAGGCAGCGGCCTCGCATTCCCTCCTCCTTAGCTTCAACAGTCCTTTGAGAAGCTCAGTCTTCAATCATGGGGCGCTTTCCCTTCTGCAGAGATTTCTCATAATCAGCTACAACTTGAGGAGCGGCCTGCATGAGTTCTTCCCTCGTAAACCAATGGTCCTCCTTGGGATCAGTATGATGTCCTAACCGAACGCGGTACTGCAGCTTCGGCTTCGGAGGACGTCCCCTTCCTGCAGGTCTCTGAGCTGGCAGCTCCCTGTGATCCACAATGTCATCGATGTCCACTTCTCCATCCATGGTTGGGGGGAGCATTGAGCGACGAAAAGGAAACTCATCTGTTTCCTTGAAAGGTGCAAGCTTGGAGGCGTGAAAGATAGGGTAAGTTTGAAGATGACCAGGGATCCGGATAACATAAGATGGCCCATCCGGATCTGTCTCAACGATGTCTAAAACTTCCCAAGGTCCAAAGTACTGTGGCATGAGCTTGCGGGAGATCCCGTGCTCCTGTCCCAGTTCTGAGGACTTAACCCAAACTTTGTCCCCAACCTGAAATGAAGACTCACGGCGGTGTTTGTTCGCAGATTCTATCATAGCCGCCTGTGCCTTTTGCATCTGTTCTACAGCCTGCTGCATCTTCTGTTCATAGTGGTAAGCAAACTCTAATGTACCTGGTGCCGCAGTCCACTGATTCTCAGGAAGGAGAAAATCTAAGGGTAGTCTAGGCTTGAAAGTCAGTAGCAAACTGTTCGGACTCACCCTGGTGGCACTGTGTACCGCATTGTTATACAGACTCGCGATGAGTGCAAGCTTCTCCTGGTTGGGCTTGATGTAATGCCTCAACAGGTGTTGTACAGTGCGGTTCAGTTGCTCGGCCTGGCCGTTGGCCTCTGGGTGATTCCCAGAAGTCGTTTGCAACTGGGTTCCCTGCTCTGCAGCAGCGGCCTTCCACAGTTCGCTGGTAAATCGGACATCCCTGCCACTAATAATAGACTTCGGTAACCCAAAGTCCCTAACCCAGTTCTCCTTGAACATTCTGATCACATACTCGGTCCTTGTTGTTTTCGGCATTGCTACTAACCCAGCATACTTACTAAATCTATCCACGATGACGAAGATGTGTCGCATCCCACTCTTGCTGGTGATCAGAGTATCCATGAAGTCCATGGACAGACTCTCACCAGGCCGTTTCGGAATCGGAAGGGGCTTCAGTAGCCCAAGAGGAGCCTGTGTACATGGCTTGTCCCTCTGACAAACTTGACAAGTTTCCACGTACAGCTGGGCATCTCGCATCATCGTGGGCCACCAGAACCGCTGCAGGAGATTAGCTGCAGTCCTCTTGTACCCAAAATGGCCGGTGGCATCATGACACTCACCTAAAAATAAACTACGCAAAGACTCGCTATTAGGGACACACAATTGTTTATTCCCTGCCTTCTCAAGGAACAGTAAGCCATTGACCAATTCAAACTCGGTAGAGGTCTTCTTGTCCTTCGCCTGCAGTCTGCGTATGATCTCAGACATGAACTGGTCCTCGCGATAGGCTTCCACCAAGGACTGAGTAACATTGTTCGTCAGATCGAACTCAATCATTAGCGCACCTGAGAAATCAGGTTTACGCGACAAAGCATCAACAACCTTGTTGTACTCCCCTTTCAGATACTGAGGGTCAAAGTCATATTGCTCAATGACTTCGATCCAACGCTTGAGAGCGTCAGAGAGCACCGACTGAGTTCTCATCCATCTCAGGGTCTGATGATCAGTCCTGAGGATGAAGAACCTCCCAAGGAGATAGTGTCTCCAATGGGTCAGAGCCTTGTAAACGGCATAGAGTTCCTTCTCATAGGTGGACTTAGCCAACTTCTGAGACGGCATTTTCTTGGACATGTACTCCACAGGCCTCAACTTTGGCCCCTCCTGCTGCGCGAGCACGGCGCCAATGCCATATTGGCTGGCATCCGTGGTGACTATAAACGACTTATCAGGATCAGGAAGTTTCAAGACCTCATAGAGCGTCGACGCATGCTTCAAATGTCTGAAAGCAGCCTCGCACTCATCTGTCCACTCCCATGGGGTGTCAAGGCGGGTCAGATCAGTCAAAGGAGCGGCCATTATGCTATAGTTCTTAACGAAAGTCCTATAGTAGCCTGTCATTCCTAAGAAAGATGTCATCTCAGTCACAGACTGAGGACATGGCCAATCACGAATGCTGGCCACCTTCGCGTTATCGGGCTTCAACCCTTCCGCGGATATCTCATGACCCAAGTACAAGACACGGGTGCGGCCAAACTCGCACTTCTCACCGTTGATCTTGAACTTGTGCTGTCGCAGGAGACTGAGGACTTTGTCCAAATGTGCAAGGTGCTCCTCGACAGTCTTACTACAAATAAGTATGTCATCGAGGTACACAATGACAAACTTATCCAAGTAGTCATGGAATATCCGATTCATAGCGTGCTGAAAGGTGCCAGGATCATTGCAAAGGCCGAAAGGCATTACCACAAACTCGTATAGACCGTACCTGGTCTGAAAAGCGGTTTTGTGTTGATCCTTAGCCCGGATTGCAATCTGATGGTACCCGGACTTCAGATCTATCTTACTGAAGTACCGTCACCCTTGCACTCTATCTAGCAAATCGTCGATGCTCGGCAAGGGCTCTCGATTCTTTACAGTGATGGCATTCAGGCCCCTATAGGCAATGCACATCCTAAGTGTACCCCCCTTCTTCTTAGGTACGAATAGTACTGGAGATCCATAAGGAGAGACACTAGGTCGGATCCATCCCTTCTCTATGATTTCCTTGAGCTGTCGGCGAAGCTCATCGAGCTCGCCTGGAGACATCCGATAGATCCTACCCTTCAGGATACTAGACCCTGGGATAATCTCTATCGCGTGGACGACCTCCCTCTCTACAACCCCTGTCGGCTCTTCAAATAGATCAGGGTACTTGGCAACTACTCGCTCTATCTCCGGCGGCATTTTCACCGGCTCGCCTGCAGCAGAGACATGAAGTAAATACATACCCTCCTCCTGGTTTTGCTTATAATAATTGTAGAACGCGGCCGCACACATTCACCCATAGGACTCAATCAAACTACTAGCTTTGAACTTATGTAATCTGGCGGTCACTCCACCTGGCAAAGTGTGTTTGACCACTTTTCGGTCCCAGTCAAACTGGGGCTGTGTCACACAGAGGTAGTACATACCTCGTAACATATCCATTGGGAGCTCGTCACTCACTAGGAACGAGACGCGATGTCTCAATTCCCCTCCCGCGTACGGGAAACAACACTCCACATCCTGGAGGTAGTCATTGACTACCATGCGTTGTTTGTCAGCACAGGTCGACTCCACAGGTCGACTCAGGCGCTGCACTTGCCCCTATAAACGCAGCCTCTCAACGCACGCGCGACTAATAAAGTTCCTTGTCGAGCAGCGGCCGCCAATGACAACCTCGCTGACGAACATCTCACCCTTAGGGGCTTTGACTAGGGCTGTCCAAGAAGCTAGCGGGTCTGATCTAGACCACTCCACCTCTAACTCCTCTAAGGACTCGAACACATTCATCGAACAGAGGCTTGATGGGTCTGAACGTGTTTGCAGGACGACACTGGAGTCAGTAGCTTGGGCCACCACCACCTCGACCCTAGTAGGAACAACTGCTATTCCTACTAGCCCGACGTGTTTCCCGGAGCAGTGCCTGAAGTGCTGGCAACATTGCTACCAACAGGATGTGAGGATCCTACTGCCTGCCCCATCATAGGCGGGATCTTGTCGGTCACCTTCTTGTTACGACACTCAAACTGATTATGGTATGGCCATGTTGGCCACAACGAATGCAAGCCTGCCGTCTGTACCGATCTCTCCACACGTCCTCTGAAAGACCCGCCTTCTCCCATGGGGGAGCGTTTGGGTCAACTTGACTCCTTGACCGGGAGCCTCCACGACGACCGGTCGCCTTACCTTTTTGAGCTACGACAGCGACTACTCCACCCGTTGAAGCTTCTACGCTGCCCGCCTTTGAACCTACTCCCTCCTGGAAGTTGTCGTCTAGCTCGATTGTAGAACCATCGTTATCGACAAGCATTAGGCGGCCCCTCGCCTTCCAGTTGGGAGGCAGTGTCTTCCTCCTACCATCCGTAGTGGGTGCCTGTCCATGCCCTATCTTCGCCTCAAGGTCTAGGCCATCTTGCTAAACGAAGGAAAGTTGTGCATATTGATGTTGGCTTGACTTGCCAATTGGTTCCTGAGAGGCAAAGAAAAGCATCTCGGGTACGAGGTAAGTAAAACCTGGGGGTCATAGCGCACCCCAGGGACACAGATCAGACGCTCAACAGCGTCGGTGGCTTCCCTTACTGACTTAAACTGCCTCGTGTGGAGTGTCAGGATCGCATCAGTGGCCCTTTAAGCCTCCTGAGGATCATGCCACCTTTCTTCCACCAGCTTAAGGAAGTCATCCAATTTCTGGGTGACTGCCCAAGTGCGGAAGTCATGACCATACCCCTGGAGTTGCACTTAACCACTCAACCATCTTGTTGCACTACCCTCTAGGTAGGAAGCAGCCACAAGCACTTCTTTGTGCGGCAAGGTAAGTGTACACCTGACGTAGACCGACACTTCCCTGGACCACGTGTCGAGGTCTTCGCCCCTCTTATTACCTGTGAAAGGTTTGGGAGCGGCGATGGCCGTCTTTGGAACCCACTGTGTTTGTCCCGGTCCCTGCATCACTCCGGGCTATGGACCCTGCGACACAGGTTGTTGTGCTAGCTGCTGGCGTTGTGTGCCCTGTGGCTGCACAGGCTGCGAGACAGGAGGCTGCGTGGTGACCGCAACCTGCAATGAAGATTGGGTGTACACTGTCTGTACAGAAACCTGCAAACTAGTCCCTGCTGATACCCCTCCTGACAGCGGCATGCCCAGGGAAACGATCACAACCGATGATGGAGCTACATATGGGGATACCCCAGTCACCGGTGGGACATAAGGAGGAGGATGTACAACGGGCCAGGCACCAGGCCCGGACATTGGTGACGTTGTTGGCGCTCGCCCAACCAACAGGGCCAGACTTTGCTGGATGTCCTGAAGGATGGTTGTTTGCTGGTCCTGCATCTCCACTGCATTCAGCAGGACAGACCGGATGATCCTCACATCATCCGTTAGGTGCGTCAGGTCCATCTCCTCTAACTCATTAACGTCCGCTTGTTGACATTGCATCCTGGCTCTTCTTCTATTCATTCTATCTTTCTTCGCTTTTATATCTCCTAACGCCTTATGTAGTTGTGCCTCCTGCAATGCTGCTTGTTGTATGGCAATCTCATCGGGAGTTAACACTAGTGGCTAGCTCGCCATGACGCCAGTGGACTCACTCTGGGTCTGCGCGACCGTTGACCCAACAGACCCTGAACTACCGGCCTGAGTAGACTGCCGCGCTGCGATGGCCATGGCTTCTGAAGCTACGGTTTCACTCACAAGTGCCCTGCTAGCTTCTGCTGCTCTAGCCCTCCTCTGCTGCTGCTGCCTCTCCCTAAGCTGGCGGAACAGAAATTTGTCGCCCTCCGACCCTAAAGCCAGGTGGGCAATTGGGCGTCTAGCCAATCGCAATATCCTCCGGTCGTCCTCCCCAGTGTCCTCCTCGTCGCTCATAAGCTACAGCCCTGTACACAATCTGCACTACCGCACTCTAGGTGCCTACCGCCTCGTAGTGCACAGACCAATTAACTGGTCGCTATTTCGGAGACTTTACATTCGGGTCAACAGGTAAGTCAGATTCCTACAAATAAAACTATTTTTAGTTTGACTACTCCGCAAACAGAAGCATCATGAACAAGAAACAATTCTAACTAATGTTGTCTGTCAGTTGTCAATAATTGTACACCTAACTAATCAAAACATAAAAATAGAATCATTTGTGTGGATAGGACAGCATGGAATTTTCTCGAACTTATCACCTGAAATCTACCCCTCCCTTAGTTCCCCTGAGTATCACTTGACGTCAGCGTCCCTGAGCAATCTGGAGAGCGTCGCGTGTCTAAAGGTGTGTGTTCGGCCCACCCCTGTGCCTCGAGTATCTGCTGAGCTGGCCAGCCCTGCACTGGATTATCCTCGCGTGCAGCGAGCCTTACAACCATTGGCTGATCCAGAGGCAATTTAACGTCCGCCCCCAAGTGACTCCAGGAATTCTTTTACGTCGCAGCCGGACGACGATCACAGCCAATGGTTCCCCTTCCGGTGTTTATTTAAAGACGCCCGGTCTCGTCTCCCTTAAGGGCTGGCCTGCCCTTCAGTACCCATCTCACAGCGCGGCAAGCCAAACAAAGGACAAGCAGCAAAGCATGCGTGCTCTACTCCCGGTGGGTTGGCATGGTGACTGTGACCCAGTGCTTCGTCCAGGGCCCTTCAGAAAGCTTCGCCCATCGTCTCCCAGATGCTCCACGTGAACATTGTCGACTCTCAAGGTTGAGCGCACTCGACACGTCACAACGAGAGGACTCTGAAGAAGGAACACACAACCTCACGGTAAGAAGTGTCGAAGAGGGTAGATAAGGTTAAGAGCAACGTACCTCAAATAGCTGCCCCCAACCACAGAGATAATCTCACCAGATGACCTTATGGGGATTGAGATTACCGGTCACTGCATCGGCACAACCAGCATTATCTCGTTGTTCCACCTCAGCATCAATCGAACATTAGATAGTTCTCATCACACTGTCCAGACCTCATTACACCTCACGTAGCCTTCGTGGCGATCCCCTCACCTCCTGGGTCGCCACTCACTCGCCTCCGCCCTCCTCACTACACACCACTTACGGCCAAACTCGCCAAGCAGACCGCATGTATGTGCCGTACCAGGCAGAAGACGAGCGCCAGATGAGCGCAAACGTACCACAACTCCGATACCAAATTGCAAGGAAGATGAGCAATAGCAAACTTCAGCAATCAAACAGCATCATACATATGAGTCCAGATAGTCGTGACCTCGAACCAACAGGAGAAGTGCATCACGAGAATCACCAAATAAGAACACACCAAGAGTTCATAATTGACAATGCTGAAATAGTCCCATCATCATCAACAAAGAACCAGAGTTGATATCCTATCTGGTGCTCGACGCCCAGACTACATGTGGCAGATCCTATCTAGCCTACACTACGATGCCGAGAGACGACGTCAACAACTCTCCCGAAGTACGAGCATACAGCGACCAGTGTCGCACGCTTTCAACACCAGGTATGTCTCTCGCCACACTCACAACCTCGTTCCCCAACACACAGATGCCACTAGCACCCAAGGACCACCCTGCGCCTCACCCAGCTTATAGTAGCGCAGCTCGGCTATGGCTACGTGCTCCTTCCCTGCTCGCCCGTGAGAGTGTAGGTGCCAGCCAGCAAATAGCGCAGCAGCGCTCGCGCAGCATGCAACCAGCACCCGAATGAGGAATGCGGAGGTAGGCCCTTTGCTATATCGAAGTGGCCTGCCTGCGTTCAGCGAGCCTTACAACCATTGGCTGATCCAGAGGCAATTTAACGTCAGCGTAGTGAGCCTTACAACCAAAGATGGTGATGTCGAAAACGGGCTTGC